GACTGTCAATGTTGAAGATTTAATAATAATAATAAATAATAATAATAATGTGTTATGTATTGTCATCATTGTAAGTCCCATACAATGGCAAAATTGGCTCTCTGCATTTAACCCATCCGCCACCAGGTGGAGCAGTGGGCAGCTGTAGAAGGCACCCGGGGAGCAACTGCGGATAAGGTGTCCTGCTCAGAGACACCACGAGATGTGCAATGACTGGGGATCAAACCCAGGACCTTGGAGTCCCAAGCCGGCTGCCTTGCCCCTATACCATCTCGGCCCCTGAGCTGAGAGCCGAGTCGAGATTTACCATACTATACCATTTTATTTATAGAGCACTTAAAACAGCTACAAGGCCAACCAAAGTGAGATTTAAGAGCCAGGTTGAAAAACCCAGTGTGATAAACACAAATGAATAACAACTCATGGATGGTTTGGTATTGATTGGTTCAAAGGCCCAAAATAATAGAGTTGAATGGCACACAAACACAACTTTTCAAGTTTATTTGTGATTTGCCCGTGTGTTGCACAGTCATGACAAAAGAGCAGAGCAGACGTTGGTAATAAGAGGGAGCTCCTGTCAGGACAGTGTCTTCTCCAGCATCAAAGACAAAATCTGTTTGCTTCGCCATTTTTTTTTCCAACAGCCCAATGGTGCCATAACTTTTTGAGATACATGTAAAATATGGCTTGAAATTGTTATTCAGGGAAATGTGACATTAAAAAGTTACTTCAAGAAAAGTGGAAAATGTGCAACCCCCCTTATTCTGGTAAACTTTGCTCTTTTTTGGGATCACTTGGACTGAAAACACATGTAAACCATATTATACTGAATCAGTACCGTTTTTATGAGAACGTGTTATTGCATATCCCGTTGACTCCTCTGAGGCAGCCATGTGGTTCAAAACATCAAAGTTCATGCTCAATAATCCAGGTAAAAAAATCCAACAAGTCAGGTCCTCTGGACAGTTTCTTTTTTTGGTTGAAACTTTTTGTCCTTCATCCAAAGGACTTCATCAGTCCAAGGACAAGAGAGACAGGGCGGACTCCAGAAACCATCTTATCACCATCAAACTGGTTGACCCACTATGTGAGTAAGCCTCTAATGGGACTGAGTTTGTTGTGGCTCCTCGGACTGATGAAGTCCTTTGGATGAAGGACGAAATGTCTTAAAAAAAAAAAAAAAAAACGTCCAGATGACCTGACTTAACTTTGTTGGATTTTTTTTACCTGGATTATTGAGCATAAACTTTGATGTTATTGCATATATTTATACATTTTGTTGATCCACTGATTGTTAAATAACCGAGTCATTTTTCTTTATGTTATTGATTAATAACCTTTCCAAACATTTCGCACTGTCACAAATCAAATAAACGCAATTTTAACTAATTATCTTTTAAGAAATACAAATAGTTTGCACATAAATGATATTTTTAACATGATAGTACATACGTTTGTATATATGCTCAATCATCCAGGATGTGGCAAATCTGAGATGTATTTATTTTTTTAAACTGGACATTTTTTCTTGTTAGCGAAAGTTGTTTTGCAACTCAACCAAGAAACTTTCTCAATGTAAACTGAAAAGTCAATTTTTGTTTTTTAAGGGATGTTTTTATATGTAGCTTGAGAAAACTGCATTGTTGTCCATGGAGAAAGTTTTCACTCTTTTGAAGAGTTTATGTACGCTGTAAACTGTAGGATACATGTCCACGCATGGTTTGATAATTACTTTTTCAGGGACCTGTATTAAAAGATAAAAAGCAAGTGGTCATCTGATTTACAATTTCAAAGAAAAATAATTAGAAAAATTAGACATTTTTTTCTTTTGACAGTCAGAAATTGGGTGAGAAGATTCCAACAAAATCTTCATTAGAAGAAGTGGTTCTACTCTGAGCTCCTCTAGAAGACGGAACTCCTTATTCTCCAAGGCTAAGGGAACTTATTTTTATTTTCAGCCGCTTGTCTACAGGATCTCATTATCCAAACCCCCTGGCCATAGGTGAGGTTTGGAACATAGATGGACCAGAAAAATGAGTCCTTTGGCTTTTGACTCAATGTCATCATGAGCAACCAAAGCAACACACTCATTACTGAGGACGAAGCCCCAATCCGTTGATCCATTTCACACTTGTGCAAAAGACCCACCCCCACGCCAACTCGAAGGGTCCATTCCACCCGTTTCTATTTTAAGTGGGTTTTTTTTTTTTTATTGAACCTGTCCTAAATATGCTAAAGGTAATCCAAATCCTATAAATTCTGTTGTTTATCAAAGTACTTGATTGGAATCTATGGCAATCTTGTTGTCGTTCCTTAGACAAATTACGGCCGGAATTATGTATACCAGTCCAGATGACCTGACTGAAAATTGTTGGATTGTATACCTGGATTATTGAGCATGGACTTTGTTGGTTATGTATACCGGTATTTCTACCTTCCAGTAATCAAAGCTGATGAAGACCATTTCTTTAAACGGACAGTACACTCTTTGACATTTATTCATGGATCTTCATGGCACATTCCTGACACCTTCCTGGTGTCAAATTATAAGAAAACTGGCCATAAATTTGTTGCCGTTTGCTACTAATGGTTTTATTGTTCTTATATCATCCTTTTTGAAACCAACTCACCAAACCCTGCATGGTCTGAGAAGTTGGAAACAAAAAAAAAAGCGATAAAACAAAAAGGATACCAATGGATATATGTTGGTTAAGTGACTGATTTGCCAATAGTAAAAAATATACCTATGTTAAATGTAAAAAAAATAGTTTCTACTCATAAACATTGGTACTAAAGTTAAGTCAAACCAGACGTGATTACGAAATGTCCTCGATCCATCCGCACAATCCGTGAGGGGCTTATGCCTGACAGTTCAGATGTGTATTAGTCCAAGTACCGTACAACACTTCGCTGTATATGGTGTTTGGTGCACGTGATACCGAGATGTGATTTACCCACAGTATACCTACTTCTTCAGTGATTGGAAGCTCAGGGAACTGCCAGAAATGTGATTGGTGGAACGGGCAGCATGCATGACACAAACCAGGCAGAGCAATCATTGAGATTTAAACATCTGAGCATGCCTCATATGTACATGGAAAACATGTAAATAAGAATGTAGCAAAGAAAAAACAAAAAAGCAACTTTATGTTTTCCAGAATATTAAAAAAATAATAATAATTCTTATCATCCTCTTTCCATCTTTTTAAAGAAAATTTTAAGATTTGGTTCAGGGCATCCAAGTCGATGTTTTTTTTTTTTAATCGTTAATTGGATTCAGAATTAATTTTTAACAGTCTATCTTCTATGGCTTAGTGTCCTTAAAGATCAGTTGGTTTTATTAAATTTTGTTTATTATTAAATGTTTAAGCCAAGATTGGTTTTCTTTTGACTGCTATCTTTAGGGGATGCCACAACCTGAGCCCCTCTACCCCTACCATTTTGCAAATCTTCCTTGTTACTTTTGCAGCTATCCTCCTGTCACAAATCACCCCTGGCTCCATCCACTCTATCCTGTCTGTTCTCTTTTCGAAATTCTACCCAACGGTTGACGCACATGAATTCCGTTTTACTATTAACTATTAATTTTCATTCTACGCTCCAGAACATAACTCCACCTTCCCAGGCTCTCTTCCACCTGCACTGTATATCACATTATCATCTGCATACAACAATCCATTGGATCCTGTTTGAACATTTTTGTCAACTTTTTTGCCCCTCTTTTGAAGGGGTTCAGAACTGATACCGATGTTATCCCACATCTGACACCATGTGGATAATGTAGTTTAAGATTCAGCCATAGTTTGCAGCTCATGAAAATGACACTGAATAGAATCAGGTTGCCGGTATAAGAAATTATGAATGGCTACAAAAAATGACAGTATGATGAAGATAAAAATGTAATGGTAGATGTGCAGGTATTAAGTACCAGTCCACATCAAGCAGTGATCTCACTATCCTGCCCTACCTCATTTCTTAGTCACACCTGACTTCCTCATACAGAACCAGTGTGCCTGTCTTGGTACCCAACCACTAGCTTTCTCTAGTCAAGAAAGACACCAAGACACATTACACGTTCTGAATTTCCCTACACTAAGTTTAAGACTGATTATGTTCTTTACTTTCACCGTGACTATTTATTACCATACATTAAAATCTGATATCTGAAGACTCTTTGATTTAAATGTCTCCAAAAATCTATTGAAAACAGCAAGTCACACTGCTGGACTAACTAAAATGCCCCATGACTACCATTATCTTCAGTTGTTTTTATGCTAAACTAAAATAAGTTACGAGCTTTAGCATCGCATCATGTCTACAGGATAAAATATTTGTTTTTAGTTTACTGTATGGCATAATACATTTTCAAAATGTTGGGGTCTTTTTTACCTAGGAAGGTGTCACTTCGAGCTGGGGATTAGCAAAATGCACCCAAACGCTCAGGGTTTGAATTGCAAGTCAAGAAGCTAGAATAAATTGCTAATGCTAGTGCTAACTGACCAAACTAGCTACTGTTAGCAATTTAAGCTACGCTACACTGCATTTTGCACATTCAAACACCATAAAAGTGTTTACAAAAAGACATTAAACGTTACTATATGTTGGTAGAAGCTTTAACAAGCAATTTATTTCAGTTTCTTTTATCACTTTTTATTCACAAGGCAGCTAAGTTGGAATTTAAAGTTGTTTCTTTTGAGAACCCAACGTCCAATTCCTTTCATTCTAAACTTGGAAATATTAACTTTATTATTCAAAGTGACCAATATTTTTGATAATTTAGAAACTAATATGAACGTATATAATCCTAAACCGCAGCGCAATACGGTCAAATATTTTAATGAGAATTTATGGTTGGCTGGGTTTTAAAACGCTGCAATCATGTTAATACTAAAAACATTACATTGCTTTTGAAAAATCAGGGCCTTAAAGAGTTAGTATTATGTACTTGTAAGTACTTTTTGTTAGTACACCACATATAAGTGTTGCCTACTGAAACTCACACATCGTCTTTTGAAGCGTATGAACTTGCCCTCCACCTCAACCCAGTGTGTGTTGAGATGGAGTTGGCGGGGCTCCACTAGATTGGCGGCTCCAGCCTCTGAGAGCTGATTGGCTAAGCCCTGCAACTCCTTAAGCTCCTCCTTCTTCTTGTCGAACTCTGAGCCAATTTCCTATTGGACAAAATCAACCGAAAGGTCACTCGCTATTGGCTACGGACCCGGGTGGGTGAAGCACACAGAGGCATGTGGATGTGCTAAAATAAAAACACATTTTCAAGCAAACACCAACTCATAAAATGACAATAATACACAATTAAAATTAAATAACAGTTACACATTCATTTATCCACTAGCACACAGTAGCAAAAACACACCTCAGTAATAAAAAGAACAAAACATCACGTTTGTCAGAGTGACACATACAGATAAGATTCAATATGTATATTCAGAGTGAATGTATCATTCCATATAATATAGGAAAAACTGCTGTGAACAGAGGGAATACATGCCTCAAAACTTTATTTACACAAAGGAGTACAACCACTGGCCAATACAGAAAAGTGGTGTGTGTGAATTTAGCATTAACAATGTGAGGCAAATAAATAAATGAATAAAAAGGCAGAAGGCGATATGCTGATGAGCAGACAGACAGATAGATATTGGGAAAATCTTTGTCGTGGCAATGACAGGTGAGCCTATGGCAAGCAGGTGACACTTCTGCTTAGCGAAATGTCATAGTGATCATCTGAAAATGAAAGACACATGCAGAGTCAGATGGAGATGCAGGAAAACATGTGAGGTCCAGGGTTTGTCTATCTAACATTTTCTGAATCAATTCCTCCCCCCCCCAAAAAAAAGCACTAATCTTGACTATGGCTAATTTGTAGGGAAGAAAAAAACACACGAATCAAATTATATAAAAGCTATGTATTCCGGTTTTGTGGAACAATAAACAACAATATAATATGTTGCTTAAGCTTTTACAACTTTCTTCTTATTATAATATATATTTTTTATTATTATATATTATACTTTTTGTTTTAACAGACAGCCCATTTGTTGTTTCCTGTGAATCGGACTTGTTATTGTTTCCATTCTTGCAAATTCCCATTTGTATTAAGTTAAGTGTATTATTGTGCATATTCTTTAACTCTTGATTATTTTTATCAACAACGAAAAGAAAATTATAATTAGTCAAAGTTCGAGCTATAACTAGGGCCCCATCTACACCGATCTGGATTTTCTTTTAAAACAGTTAAAATGTTAAATGTATAGTTTTCTTTTTCAGCAATGCTATTTTGACAAACAAACAAAAAAATAATAAAAATAAGCGATATCAAAGTTCAACCGTTAGGTGTTGAGACCATTCACATTAGCAACAAATAAGAATCATTCATAGATTATAAAAAACACTGGACATTGTGTCCCCGTCTTTTCTCGTTGTTGGGAATTGAAACTAATAAGACGCGGGTTATAGAAGATGCCATCTTGGAATTTTCGGGAACAGAATTGGCGCACTAGCGTTATGACGCTTTAAGCCCCGCCTTGTTCCCCAAACAGAATCATTGTGTTACGTGACCTTTCCTTTAAGCACTAAATCTCATTTAGCTAATTGAGAGCTACATAAATCAGAGTCACTACCTGTAAAAAAAAGTTTCAGGTGTATTTTATTTCCTAATAAGGGCAACATCCTGTTCATTTAAATAGAGGGGGCGGGGCTTATTTTAAAAAAAAAACTTGTTCAGGGGTTAGCTTATCGGGCAGCTGGTCCCCTTCCAACTTCCTGTCGGATGCAAGGATTTTTACTAATCGATGACCAAAAATACAGATAAAAAACATTATTTTCTTGGCTATGAATTTTTCAAAAAGAATACATGAATTTTGGAATTCGTCCGCGCCAGCAAAACCTAATCTAGACATTTGGAGATTACATTAATTTCTGCACCTTTTATCAAAAAGAGAACAGTAGATATTAGCATTCTTTTATTTTCTTACATATTTTTACACTTCAGTTTTTCTACCAAAACCAGTAGCAAAGATATTCAAGAGTTACTTGAACTAAGTAAGCTACATGGTGGTTAGCGCATTTCTCGAAATATATGGTTCTCGTTTAAAGTTTTCTCCAAAGCTGCAGTTAGTTTCTCAAAAGTTCAACTGGCTGGTTGTCTAATGGAGAACACTTATGTGAGCAAATTAGCGGAACCTTGAGTAAAATACACTTTTTTTTTTTAACAGAAACTATCCAAAATAGTGTGGATGTGGCCTAAATTGTTTGTTTTAAATCTTTTTTTTTAATGTGGGCCCATTTCCAAAATAAAAGCTTTAGTCTTTCATAGAGCTTATCTGCAGTTGCCAAAACATATGGTATTACTCAGGAGTAATAATTATTTATCTGCCCAATGGACTCAAATTGCGTAAATCCTTGACAAGCAGAAGGTCTAAAAGCTGAAGCAGAAGATAATGAATATGAACATGGAAGAATACAGTTTTCAGTACTAATGAAGTACCTGCAAAACAGAAAATGGAAACAAACAAAACTCAGAAAAGGTAGAGCTTAAACAATGAGCTGAAGAGGTAGATGCTAATGAAGGGTAAAACATAAAAGTAACAGCTATCTATGGAGTAATGGGTTTGGAAACGTGTGTTTTCTGTAAGCTTCTGTTCGTGCTTTCACCTTGACCCTCTCTCCTTCGGGGGGGTCAGGAAGTTGCTCCACGCTGCGTTGGATATCATTTAACCAGGCAAGCAGGTCATGTGACTTCCTTCTGTACTGGTACCACTGGGGGGCGATGGCCAGAGCCTTTCTATTCCTCAGGATACGCAGGTCCTGGACACAAACGCACAAACACGCTGCTAATTTGCACTTTCTGAACAATATATCCTGTTGATCCCCATAAAAATTCCATTGAACATTTCTAATTTGGAAAACTACCAAAAATATCAACCCTAGTCATTTTTCCATCCTTCCATCTCTTCCATGCCCCTGAACCACTTTGTGAATTAATGTCTGCTTAACTGATGCGTCCTTTGTTTTCAGTTCTGATTGATGGTGAGACTTTAAAAAGAACAAGCTCCGCCTGCTAGAGGAGCGAGGGGGGCAGAGGATGATGATGTTGGTCTGATGTCTGTTGGTTGCTGGTTCCATGGCTCATCTCAACTCTTGCTCCCGCTCCTTAATTTATAGACATGCCTTGCATCGCATCACTTTTGTTAATGGTGTTGTTTGTTATCTGGGTTCGGGAGTTACCAGCAGTCTTGCTTCCTGGATGTTTGGTTTATAAGGATAGTTACTGGATTATATGGTTAGGGGGAGTAGCTGAAATCTGATGGTCAGCAGTTGGTTCAAAAGTTCTCCCTCCTCTTGGCTGGGACTCCTACCTCTCTGTTCTGTTCCAGATGGTTGTGTTTAATAATAATAATTTAAAAAAAAAACATAAAAAAATGTTACCAGTGTTTCCCTTGCCATTATTCAAGGAGGGCGCCCCACCCTGTCAACAGAACCGAGTGCCGCCCCGTCAACAACTGCCGCCACAAATGTAGCACGCTAAGCTAATACAGTATTTAGCTAAAACACATGTAGCACTCCTCTTCTCTTCAAACCCTCGTCAACAGCTGAGTACGCAAACATAGAGGAATGTTTCTCACCAGTACCCCCACGTCGACAAAACTGCAAAAAGATGAGCGCCCTACCGAGGCAAGTAACCTAGGGGAAACACTGTTACAAGCTTTTTGACTTCATATGCTACGTAACCTTTGTGCTACTCCTACGATATACGGACTATAGCACCATCTTCATCACCAATTTTCTACACCCGTTTTTTTCAGTCTGAGTCACAAGAAAGTCATAAGTCATAAGAAGTGAAACATCTTTAAAAAAAAAAAAAAACAGTACGGTAACCCTAACCCTAACCCTAACCCTGACCCTAAGTCCAGTTGTGTAAAAAAACAAACAAGTAATGTCATGTTCTGGAAGATTAGGACTCTACACCAACAACATACTGTGTGCCTCAAACAGCTCATTTGTGTAGTACCTTAACAGAGTTGTACTTGCTGTTGAGCTGGTTGTGTTTCAGTCTGATCTGCTCTCTCTTGTCTTGGTCCGGGGCTCTCTTCTGTAGACTCTCTCCCTTCAATAGTAACTCCTTCACAGCACCTTCCTCACAGTTCTACACACATACACACATATTGTTCATAACGGCACAAAGAACAAAGTGCTGTATTTTTCCCTTTGCGTGATGGGAAGAAACCTTGTCCTCCTGGAAGTCCTCTTCTTTTAGGTTTTCCCCCTGTTTGGCCTCCTCCTCCAGCAGCTCCAGCCAGACCTGGACTTCCTTGTGGTACTGCTCCAGCTCCCTGGCTGACGCTGCCGTCTGACACACAAATACAGAGGCACACACATGACCAGAGGAAAGTCACTTTAGTCCAATATGTTTCAAGTAAAGCTGATTAAAATACATTTTAGCGTGTGTGTTAGTAAAATCTATTAAAGTGGTCACTACCTGTCCAGAAGCGATGCGTTGAGAGATGATGTCAAATCTCATGTTAAGCTGCTCCACTTTAGGTCCCACCTGGGCCTGGCAGTTCTCCCCTCTGGTGGACATGAGCTCGTGAGCCAAAGCTCTCACCTCCTCCATCTTCCCTTTGTTCATCTCCAGCTCTGCACGCAACACCTGCAGGACCCAAACACAGGTGGTTCCCAACCTTTAGGGCATCTTAACTGGTTTCTAAACCTTTGGTGATCAACTCTCATTCAAGAACCAGGACAGGACACCACTGTTTTTACGTTAAGCACTTTGGGATGCTTTCGGTTCTAAAAATACCTGCCAGAACTTTTGCACCTAGCAGTTGCCCTTTTGCACCCACTGATTAAGTTTTGTACCTTTTGGGAAAGCAATGGTTGCCACTTCACACCCATGCACTTGTGAAAGTATCCTTGAACAGTATGCTCAACTGGCTGACCCAATCATGTAGACTAGTCTTCATCTCTAATGGGTATTCCAGTTTTATATAAAAAATTTTTTAAAAGTCACCGTTGGGGCATCTGCCAATATGGGTACCAAAATTCCAGGAGTTTTCAAAGTTAGACACTTGCAGTGGAAATTAAAATGAAATCATGGGAATAAATGGAAATAAACCTGGAATTAAACATACAGAAGTTTGGCCATTAACAGGTATTTTAAACATGGCTGGGAAAAAGATACTTTAGCATGGTTTTGACTAAATCAACCAGATTGGAAGTATGGAAAAATTGCTAAGTATTGATATTCGTTTTGTTTTAATGTAGATAGCATGACAAAAAAGCCAAACTAATGATCAAATAACATATAAACTGAGCTAGGTTTACATTTTCTGTTCTTGGGAAAGTTGTAGAAATGCATGTCCTAACCATGGCTGGAATTCTCAAAATCTCAATGGTAGATACGTCCAAAGTTGGTTGAGATTAAATCAAAAACTCAAATTCTGTGAGACGTCTAGATTCAGACAGACTAGCGATGGTTGACTAAGGTCTAATGGGTCAAACATCTCAAGTATCACTGCTGCAGTTTTTGGGTCTCAATTGTGTTCACATCTTCCATGGAACGCTTTGCCACACAGCCTTGGTAGGAGAAGGCTATAAGTATCTTGTTCAGTCATTACCTTCCATTTCACATCTACTGCATAAATTTAAAGCTATCAGGAGTTGTATTTCATGCTAATGGGATCTCAAATTGTAACTCTGCTATTTTGTAAAGGTTTGTAACTAAATTAGGCTCAAACAAAACCAAATATATGGAGTGTAGAGAACAGGCACATAAAGTGTAACCTTCAGCACAGCATCATTGGGTCCTTGACTGTCAATCTCATCCATCTTAATCTCAGCTCCATCAATCCATTCATTCACTTCCTTTATCTGTTCATCTAACTTCTGCATCTGCTGCTGGTAGTCCTGAAAAAAAAAGAAAAAAAAGAAAAACAACTGAGCATTTTGACTTCATTAATGCAGTAAATAAGCAGGAAGTGTTTTTTTTTAATTAACTGCAGTGTAGTGTAACAATATAGTTGAAATATCACTGACCAGCAGCAGGTTGAGCCATTCTTCAGCTCTTGACGTGACTGCAATCCAGTTGCAGTGCAACAGGCTGACTTTGTCGTCCACCAGACCCCCATTGCCCCGCAGGACAGCTTTAAGGGCCTCCGCAAGCTCCACAACTGCCTGCAACTGAGGCTGATGTCGCTCTATCTCAACGTGGATGGACTAAAAGCACAAATGGGGACAGAGGAGACACAATACTATGTTAGATTTATACAATATAGAAGGCCTTTAATATATTTACCATGCACTTGTATCCTAAAGTGTAGAACTACGACCGTTGGGGATAAATTGCGAACAGCAATGGATTCTACAAAGTGTCTTGAATTGTTCTTGAGGGTTCTTAATTTTCTTGTTAGTCAAAGGCCCTTGCTCTTGTAACATTAGAATTTTGACAAACTTTTCCAATGACTCACAAAATAGCCTTTGAAACTCAAGCGAGGTAACCCTCAAGACTGATGTGGGACATTTTGTAACGCCCACTAGGATTACCATTACCCAACTGATCTCCAACAGTCCCAGCCCAGTGAGACATTGGCTCAAGTGACTCAAGTGAGGAACTTCCTTCTTCAAGCCTATGTAGCACTTGATACACCTTTCAGACGTCTAAGCGTTGCAACTTTCAAACGGTGTGCGTGTTGTACCTGTGCCCACGCCACCTCAGCCTCCAGGTCACTGGGCATGCCTTCCACGGCAGAGCGCCTGGTCAGTTCAGCATCAGTGGCGGCGAGCCACTCTGTCAGCCCGTTCAGCTCCTTTCGCAACTTTCTCGACAACTTGAGACTTTTCTCCAGCTCCAGTTTACTCTCTGTCACCTAGAAACAGAATAGTTGGAAATTTCCCCTCATTCTTACAAGACTATTGTGATTGTTTGGGTGTGCACAGACCTGTGCTCCCAACTGGTTGTAGAGCAGCTTCAGGGCAGTTACTCTGTCGTCCATCTCTTTGGGTTGTTCGGTCTGCTGTCTCTGAACAATCTGTCTACCTGTTTTAATCACCGTTTCCACTTCCCCTTTCACTTCACTCAGTACCTTATACAGTTTCTGTTGGGACAAAAACAAACAGCCGCCTCTTAAAACACAACCTATCCATCCTTTATACAATCAAACCTGCATTGATATTACCCACCATGCACTGCTCCAGCTGCGACTGTACCACGTCCTGCTCCACACTGCGGATGTCCAGCAACCCCACCTGACTTTTGACCCCCTGAAGCACACGTTCGCACTCGGTCAGCCGAGCGTCAAAGTTGGCTGGTTTCTGGAAGAGACGGAATTTGGTCCAGACGTCTGCGAGCATTTTCTGGAAAAACACAAACCGTGAAATATTATACCACAATACATCAGACGTCAATGCATACTCAAGACATACAGCTTATTCTTCTAATTGCAGAACAACCACTGTAGGATTGACTATTTATGTTTTTAGCAACTATACTTAGTTCACATTGGGAATATTCATTGGAATCTTAAGTGTACTGTATTTCAGGATTTTTGTAATTTACATTTTCTTGAATTGTTTGATTTGGGGCACACCAAACACGTCATAAAAGCAGATTCTGTGGAAAACGTCGACTTGTGCATTCACTTTCTAAAACTTTGGAATAATAAAAATGAATAAAGAATACTAATAGATTTTAACAATAAAAATAAAATTATGGGAAAACAGAAGGTATACTTTTTTATTCTAGGGGGTTTAGGAGACAATAAACAAGAGTACAGTGTACGGTACATAATATGTCCAGCAACATACTGTTATACAGCAACCTGGGTCTGAACCATCCAAAACCTTGACAATATTATGTCCTGATATGTAAAACCCAAGAACTGAAAGAAGGTGGATTTTCTGTTTCTACAGGACAGTAAACTAGATCGGGTGTTCTCAAACGTTTTGGGTTCAGGGACCCCTTACAGGGGAGAAAGTTTCACCGACCCCCTCATAACCCTCATGTTTATTAAATAATTTTCTTCAATTTGTGTCTTGAATGCAATGGAAATATTTGTGTAACATAAATACTTTTATAGTGTTAATACAATCTTTATACTTTTAAACATGGGGTATTTTTCATCCAGGACACCATTTAATTAACAAAATTTTTAATTTCAACTTGTAAAAATGACAGTTTTGAGAAAATTACAGTATCAAAAACCATTTAAAAACTTTACCTATTCAAATAAGGAACATAATAAATGTATCGCCACTTCTTCCAATTATTACGGAAACTCTTTTCATGAAACTGAACAGAATCATAACAGCAGACCAAATAACAGGGCTTCATTTGTTAACCGATCTATATCTATATCTATATCTATATATATAGATACAGTATAGATATGGACCCCCAAGCACTGGCTTGCAGAACCCAGTTTGAGAACTACTGAACTAGATAATAAAACTAAAGTTTCTATTACGTAAAAAAGAATCATAAAAATTAACTCGTTTTTCAAACAGTGTTTATTTATCCATAAATACTTTGTTTTTGCATTTTTCTAGTAATTGTGTGTACAGTATCAAATACCTGGGTGTTGTCAATCTGTCCCATGAGCTTCTGTGAGGCGTCTTTGTCCTGGTTCTTCTTCCTCATGTCCACCAGGGTCGCTTCATGGCCATTCAACTCATTCTGAATTTTCTGTTTCACACACACAAACGCACACATTTTCATCTGGACTTACAATAAATACCACATCTCTTCCTCAGATCACCACTAGAGGGCAGAAAACTACAAGAAAACATAAAACACAACTGAAGAACTTTAACTTATAAACACCGCACGCAGCCTTTCTCCAACACATACTTGTTTTTTTTTTTTTAAACCCTGCAATTATTTAAGTGCTCTGTAATCACCAGCTGAATTAATCCAGTTGTTCTCATCCTTCTGAGTGTGTGTTTGTGTCGTTGTAGGTGAGATCAGGAGAAATGTCATCTTGGCACTGCAGGTCATTACTTCATGATCTATTGTTTGATTATTCTAGAGGGTGTATGTGTGTCAGGAGGTGTGTAGGAGAAGCAGATGTTAGAGGAAGACACGATACGAACGGGGGGTAGAGGGTCCAAATCAGCTCCGAGCTTAATTAGAACCTCAGAGTGGAAAAGAGCACTCCCTATTCTCTGCCGTATTCCTCCAAACACAAAAATGCATAAAAAACAACACAAAAGAATAAACAGAAATGATCTATATTATTATCTAATGTGCATTTCCACTCAAAGAAAAAACTTTTGACTGACTGCAGCTTTATTTCCATATAACTGATCAAAAATCAGGCAGGAATGCCTGAACAGGGGTGCTGATAAGTGGGGGTCCTAAGGGGGCAATGACCACTTTTATAAATTTTATATGCGCAATACATTTTTTTATTTGATTTAAAACAACCAGTGAACAAGCTTCAGTAGAACTCTAATACTTCAGTATTTTTCAAAAAGTCTATATAGCTAAAAACATATGTTTACATACATTAACAAGAGACAACTATATTTTTCCCACTGTCTGACATTAAATCAGATCAAACCTTTACTGCTGTAGGTCCATTAGGATTACAATTTTTGTTTATATTTGTTAAATGCTCCAATAAGCCAAAAAACATTTAGTCACAAGTTTACATACATTTTCTTGGTATTTGGTATTATTGACTTTAAACTGTATAGTGTGGGTTTCCTTCCACAAACTTTTCAAAATAATTTGATGGATTTTTGTCCCATTTTTTCCTGACAAAACTAGTGGAAATAAGTCAGGTTTTATTTGCCTTTGCAACCACACACCATTTCATCTCACAAAGGTACTAAAGGATTAAGATCAGGGATTTGTAATGGTCACTCCAAAAAACACTGACTTTGTTGTCCTGATGTTGCTTTAATATTAGAATGTTCTTTCCTCATGATGCCCTCTATTTTGTGAAGAGCACCAGTCTCTCAGGCAGCAGAAGCATCCTCACAACATAATGTTGGGACGGTGTTCTCAGTATTACAAGCGTCCTCTTTTATCCCACAAAGGTAACGATGGTCATTATGACCAAACAGTTCAATTTTAGTTTCATCAACCACAGGATATGCCTCTAAATATTAAGGGTTTTGTCCGTTTTGCATTGACAAACTGTAATCTGACATTTTGATGTTGGTTTTGGAGTAATGGCTTCTTCCTCACTGAGTGTCCTTTTAGTCCATGTGGGTCCAAGTCTTATTCCACTGAATGAATTAATCTTCACATATCTAACAACTGAACCCAAAGATAAACCAGATTTGTGGACAACATTTATCTCTGATATCTTAAATCAGCGGTTCCCAATACTGGTCCTTGAGGTACACCACTCTGCATGTTTGTTTTCCTGCTTTGACACACCTGATTTGAATGAACGTGTGATTAACAGGCTTTGGCAGAACTTGTTGAAGTAATTAAATCACTGAATCAGGGGTGTTGGAGCGGGGAAACAACTACAACATGCAGGATGGTGTTCCTCAAGGACCAGTGTTGGGAACCACTGTTTTAGATGATTGTTGTACATGTCTCATGATGCCACAAAAAGAAGAAGTGCGTTTAAGTTTTGCCTTAAAAAACATCCACAGATGTGTCTCAAATTACCTCAAATGTCACATTTATCAAAAGCTTCCAAAGCAATGACATCACCATCTGGGCTTACCCAAACTGTTCAAAGCATAGTAATCTTAGTGTATGTAAACTTGCGACTTTATAGAACGTAATAAAAATATATATCTCTCTTTATATTTAGGCATTTAAGAAATGGAAACAATTTTGGAAATTCTGATATAAAACAGGAAAGGTTTAGTCCTATTTAATGTCAGACAGTGGGAAAATATTGTCTGTCTTTTTTGTACATTGTATGTAAATGTCTGGTATTAACTGTATTAACTAATGGCCCTCACTTGGTCACCCCTTTAACACTCTGGAAGAGCCCCAGCATCTGAACACTTGCCTTGCCTGTTCTTGTTCAGCAGTCTTAGATTTTATATTCTTGTGGCCAAATTATAAAATGTTTAGAAGAAACAAATAATGTCTCAAGATTAGATTGCCATATGTAGTGACAGACGAGTGGAAGCGCTTTGCCTTAAACTGATCATGCAGGGATCTGTTAGAGTGGCAGCTGAGGAACAACAACCAAACAGTTCAAATAGAAAATAAAACAACACAAAGACTATAAAACACCTTGACGGGGCTTCTTGGATAAAGATGACAAATCTGGAATCAGATTTTACTCGTTTCTTTGACGAAGTGTAACTGAATGTTTTTTCTTGGTAGTGACTGAAGGAACAAGATTGTGGATTCAAGCAGTCGAAACACGTTTTCTCAGTAAGGTAGCTGGTTTCTTAGCGATATGATGAGAAGTTCAGTTATCATTAGGAGGAGCCTGTTGATGTGGTTTTGGCTTCTGGTAAGAAACGCTTCTTGATGCCTTCCTGGGAAGGTTGTCCAGGCATGTCTAGGAAGAGACCTCCGTGAAAACCCAGGATACGCCAGAGACTGTCTCTAAACTGGTCTAGGAACGCCTTGGAATTCTCCCAGAAGAGCGGCAAGAGGTAGCTGTGGAAAGAGATGTCTGTGCCACCTTGTACAAGTTATTGCCCTTGCGATCCAACTCTGGAACAAGCAGCAAACAGTGGATAGCTGGATATCAGCATGCATCAATGATGTTTAAAGGAATGGAAATGTTTCCTTCAACTACATATGATTGATTGCAGCAGGAAAGTGCATGGTTACCTGAGCTTCCTGAGGTATCTGCTGGGCATCAATGTGGTCAGACAGGTAAGCTGTGAGGTGGCGATCTGTGTTGGCTAAGGACTCCTGGATGCCTCTGAGCAGTTTGTCATTCTCCTGTACAAGCTGGACACTTTTCTCCAGCTCCTTCTGCCTCAGCGCTGCCTAAACAGATAAAGAAACATACAATGTCAGCATAAAACACCATCTACTATGAATGCATAAAAAAGGTTTGGCAATTCTTTTACACCTGATAACCTTCCAGATGCAACCAGGGCTAAAACCAGAATCCTCAAGATTACAAGACCTCAGAACTGACTACTATGCAACAGCATCCCTGGTCAATACAATAAATGTAAACGATAAAAAATAGAAATTAAATTCAAACCTAAGCAACTAATTCTTGTTTTTGACATGCCCCTAACTGAACCATCTACTGAAAGGATGACACCTAACTCCAGTTTATATTTCTATAGAAGAAAAGGCAGATTTTTTTTTAATCTTAAGCTTCTATCTATTAAAAGTAAACAAATATTGATTTTTCAGTCAGTATAGGCTTCACACATACAAGAAAAAGCACAAAGACAAGACAGAGCTAAAGACGAACAATCGAACCATTAGAAACAATCATCCTAAATGTACCCTCTTGAAGGTTGGACTCCTGTGTTTCTCTCTCATGTTGTCTCTCGATGACCCAACGCATCACAGCTGAAGACTTTCTGAACTTCTCATGACTGTCGGTGCTGTGGAACTACTACAGTGATTGGTTTTGCTCTTCACTGGTGACTGTCTACAGGATTAGCATGTACACATACCCATTGCCTCATATAGAAATCTCTGTGTGTAACAGGTTACATGTAAGCAGGGTAATCTTACATAAAGGGATAATAGCTCCAAGTATAGCCCTGAGCCCCTTGTGCCGCACACAATGTTCTCCTAATGTTAGCAATGGATGCATCCAAGTGTTTGTTGGACACTAATAAAGGAGTCACTGGTTCTTCAATTGTCTTGCGTTTGGGGAAAAAAGTCAAACTCAAGCATTGGCATCTTTATGAGAACGTAGACCCTACACCTAGAACATTGCTCTTCTGTGCTGGGCCATCCTTTTGGCCAGCAGCTGTCTAGTTTCCCCAATGTATAACCAATCACAGCCCTCCTGACACTGAACAGCATACACAATATTGCTCTGGTTGTGCTGGGGGACTGGATCTTTGGGATGAACCAGTCTTTGCCGTAATGTATTTTGGGATTTAAAAGCCACTGGGACGTTGTGTTTAGAAAATGAACATCTCAGTTTCTCCGAAACTCTCGCAGTATATGGAATGACCACTGGTCTGGGTCTGGACATACCAGTAATCAGGCCAGGACTTTGAGGTCTACACTTATCTCCAGGCCAGAAATCACTCTTTCAGGGATGAAATGATGATGCCTTGGCTCATTAGAGTCATGCTGGTAAGTGCTGGTCTGTCACTCCCTGACAGCACTCAAGAATAAAGGCCGAGCAAAAAGTAAGCCTCAAACAAACAGCCAATGTGTAAAAACTGTAAGTCATATTAAAAAATCTTGAACTCCTGAAGCAGCAGAAGCTTCGGGTTGTTACACATTTTTTTATGACTAGAGTGATTCATGTAGAATTTAACATTTTCTTGAGAAAGTAATTTACAAATAAAATCTTCTCAACCACACGACAGAGAAAAAAAATCAATTTCCCCCCATCTAAGTGTCTCTTATATGAAAATTACTTCTTAAAATACTATAGAATATAAATAAATTTCTATGATGACATGGCGTCCCACAAAACAGTTTCTTTAAACAGCATAATGAGTCTTTTCAAAAAGAAAATAAAAGACTTTATGACAGTTTGGTTACCTATGAGAGCTATCAGAGTTACCCAGTCTTGCCTTGGCTTCTTACTCACCATCTTTATCTTTATCTTTCTCACCTCACAAGATTAGATGCCGACAGTCAGACCAGAACAAAAGAAACCAGCCTCTAATGAAACCCCAAGAAAAACGTGAAATGAGAGACAAACGTGTACACAGACATAAAATCTCCTGTAGGTAGACAAAGGAAGGGCAAATCAAGGAGATCATTAATCTGGTTCCATTGTTAGAGGAGCATGTGCTTGTGTGGGTGATAATTCACTAACAACCACAAGAGGCAAAGACTGTATTACCGTAATAAAAGTTAGTTCAACCCTAACTAGCCTTTCAAAATGGTAATGACAAGCTAGCCAAACTGAAAGAGTTCAGAGTTCAGCATTCTTTGAAGGAATTCATACCATCTGCCACCTTTGAGAGATAATTGGTAGCCATCGTAAAGCACAATGCCATGTGATATCCAGAGATGCCACCCACATGTATTATGAATGACTCAGCTACTACTAATTAAATTTTAGTGCAACACCAGAACTGGGCTGCAATGCAACAGAACAATAATCCCAAACACAGCAGCTACTCTACAGCAGAACAGCTCAAAGAGCAATAGTTGCTTGGTCCACTGAAGTCCAGAACCTCAGCCTGATTGAAGTGCTGTGGTGGGATCTTCAGAGAGCTGAGCAGAAACCAGTGTCTCCAAAACGCAAAGAATTGAAGGAACACTTGAAAAAGGAGTGGGCCAAATTTCCTCCACTGCTATTTAAGAGATTCATAATCTTCTTCTTTCGGCTGCTCTCTTCTTCAGGGGTCACCACAGCAAACTAACTTGTATAAAGACTTGGCAATTGTTTTTATGCCGGATGCCCTTCCTGACGCAACCACAGCCCACCGAGCTACCACAGCCCTCTGTGTGGAGCAGAGAGCTACTATCTAGGGTGCCCGGGGGAGCAGATGTAGGGGTGGCCCAGAGTGGGGCAAATGAGGGTGGAGGCAGGTGTGGATGTTTCACCATTCCCACCCACATTTTGATGTTGTCCGTCCAGGGAGTTGAACTGGCGACCTTCTGATCACAGGCCCATCTTCTCTAGCCTCTGCGTCACCAATCCCCCTATTTAAGAGACTGGTAATGTTATAAAGAAAATTACTAATCCCACTTTTATTTTGCTAAAGGAGGTTCTTGAGACTATTGAATCATGGGATGCACTAAGCTTTATAATTGTGGCCTTTTTGTTTATTAGGTGATGACATGTTGTGTTGTCATGTTTATTAGGAGGATCTGTGGTGGAAGTGGTCTCCAGCTTTAAGTACTTGGGTGTGAACCTGAATGATAACCTCAGCTGGGGCAACAACACTACAGCTCATCAGAGACTCTAAACCCTCAGGCGGCTGAGACGAGCTGGTCTGGGAAGCTCAGTCCTCACCTCCTTCTACAGGTGTGCAGTGGAGAGCATCCTGTGCTCCAGCATCAACGTGTGGCATGGAGGCTGCACAGCTGCAGAAAGAAAAGCTTTGCAGAGAGTGGTGAAGGCTGCACAGAAGTCTGTTGGAGTCAGCCTCCCCACCATCAGACATCTACACCTCCAGATGCAGGAAGAGAGCCACCTGCATCATGAAGGACCCCACTCACCCAGCACACACACACTTTTTGCCCCACTCCCCTCAGGAAGGAGGTTGAGGAGCATTAAGTGTAGAACCACTAGACTGAGGAACAGCTTCTACTCTGAGGCTGTTAGACTCATGAATCTCTAACTACTAATCACTGTGAAAAACCACATCATGTTGCTGCTGATCTGTTTCATGTTGCTGCTGATCTGTTTCATGTTGCTGTGTTCATGCCTGATCATCTGCTCACATAGATTCATGTTTGTGCTGCTGTTCGACTTAATTTTTTTGCTTTTAGTGCTTAGTGTATATTTGGTTGATGTTTTTCTTAGTTCATATCTTAGATTTTATTACCGTTTTGCTTTTACATTTTATTGTTGGATGTAACTGTGACCCTGTGTACATAATCTCGTTCCACCACATGTACCAAATGTCATGCGAGCAACAATAAAGAATCTCTGACTTTGACATGATGAAATCTCTTGAGTGTTTTCGAGTACTTAAGGTTAGATTTTAATACCTTTGGAATCTGGTAAATACCAGCTCATTTTAATCATGTCCCGATATGTAAAAAACAAGAAATGAAGAAGGGTGAACTTTCTATTTTTCATGACTCTATATACAATCTACTGCACCCTGTTTTTGGCATTTGATGGTGCAGTCCAGAATCCCTTCCACATAAAGGAGGAAAACCATGGAAAAAAAACTATTCCACTTTGTATTTAACCTATAGGTATATGGTCAGTGAAACTCTAAAAGGCATATTGTAGTGTGGTAAATCAGCAGGATAGTTTAGATTTTTCTCCCATGGTTTTCTTCCTTTATGTGGAAAACCATGGGAAAAAAAAATCTAAACTATCCTGGTGATTTACCACACTACAATATGCCTTTTAGAGTTTCACTGACCATAT